CCTTTATCTCACATTGTCTGTCTCCCGTCACTAAAATACAAGCTCCACAAAAGACCTGAAAGTTTGTCTCCTTTGTTCATTGCTGCAACCCAGGACCTACAACAGTGCCCAGAACATAATAGGCTTTCAGTGAACTTTTGCTGAATAAAGGAATAAGTGAATGATGGTCATTTGGGTTGTTGTCAATCTTTTGCTACTAAAACAAAACAAAATGCTGTGGTGGCCAATATTGTGCTCGGATCACTTGCTTGTGGGTGAGTACATCTGTAGGACAAATACCTAGAAGTGCAATTGCTGGGATGAGGATGTGAACAGTTGTAATTTTATTAGATATTCCACCATAATCTACCATAGTCCACCACTTCATGTTGAGCAAATCACATAATTAATTGTGTGGTACCCCACATTAACTTGGTTTTTAACTGGATGGAAAGCAAGTAATCAGGAGAGAAGTGGCCTAAGAAGTTCATTAGCCATTAACGTGAGTTGGTGTCCCATCAAAGACGCTAGTGGGTCATCATGGTATCCTGACCACACTGCATTTGTCACACTCAGTAACTGCTTAAAGGGATGGACTGAAAGGCCATGTCCTACAGCTGGGATTATTTCTGATATTGGAAGACTTTGTGGAGGGAGCACCTTCTAAGTAATTCAGCATATCCATGGAGACTATTCAGGAGGATTTTGAAATGTCCGGGCCAAAAATCTTGGGTTCTGCCACATCTGCCAAATGTCATGACCCGTCGTTTACATTTTGGTCTGCGTGAATGGAGCAATGCACAGCCTGGGCAGCTGTGTGCAATGACCTCACACTCTATAGCACCACTCTAGGGCAAGAATTGGAAATGGTTCCAGGGTTCCTCATATCTCACCAGTCCTGTGCTGGAACAGTCACAGCTCTGCCACAGTAGTCTGCCATGTGTGGACTGTCAGACGATTGTTTCCGGGAGTGGGTGTCTTTTTGCAGATGACTTGGAAGGATTTCTACGTAGGAACCCTCACTCCAGTCATCACTATTGGCCTTACCTGCCTCAAACAAGCAGCAGCACAGGCTGTGAAGGGGATTCTTAATGGAGGAGTTTGGCCTCTGAGGCCCTCAGGCCTCCCCTACCCTGTTCAACAAATCCCTTCAGGATCAAGAGCAGGAGTGCTCCACAGAGCTGCTCCGTGGGCAAGGTCTCAAGATGGGCCCCACAGGCTCTATCCAGACTGAAAGCATGCCGGTTCTTGGTGACCCAGCTCCTCTAGGGCTTTCTGGGTTTATTTCTTTAAGCGTCGCCGTATGAAGACTCTGGCCTCTGCAAATGCTAAAGTGGAATCACAGGAACATCCTGCGAACATCCAGAAAAAGGTTTTGGAAAGGAGAATCCCTGTTGTTCAAAGTGCACATCAACCATTTTGCAACCATCTGAGTGGCAAACATGAAGTCTAACAAATGTGGAGCAACTGGGACTCTCATGTACAACTGGTGGGAATGTCAATAGATGCAACCACCTTAGAGAGCAATTTGGCCAACATCTGGTAAAACTGAAGATATGCATGTCCTCTGAGACAGCAATTCCACTCCTAAATATATACACTCTAGAGAAACCTGTGCCCATGAAGATCTGTGTAATAATGTTTATTGCAGCATTATTAGCAGTGGTGAAAACTAGACATAACTTAAATGATCATCAACTAGAGAATGAATAAATCAATTTTCATTTAGTGCAACAGTGGAATACTAGACAGCAGCAAAAAAATGGATGCACTAGAGCTACATGTATCATTATAGATACATCTCAAGAAACAGCGTTGGGCAAAAATAAAAACAAGTCACCAAAGGTTGCATATAACCTGAGGCCTTTCCTGTAAAGTTTAAAATGCTCTATGTAGTTTATGGACAAACCTATATGTATTAAATTTTTTTAAAAATATATATTAGCAGGATAAGTCCCAAATTCAGGATAGTGGTTACCTTTGCAGAAGAACAGAATGAAATCAGGGTGGGCTATACAGGCACTATTACAGCATCTGTAATATTTTATTTCTTAAGAATGTTTATTATATTACTATATGTGTGTGTTTATATGCCTGAGATATTTCATAATTAAAAAGATGATGAAAAGAGTGTCTGAACCCAAAGGGGACCAGCGTTGTATGTGCTGAGGCTGGCAGCCAATCTCACAAATGGGTTCTACCTGCTCCTCGAGTTACACACCAGGTTTTCTAACACCGCCATGGGCCATCTGGAGACCTGCACAAATCTCCACATTTATGAACATCTCCAGGGCATATTATTTCCTCATAAAGTTCAGTAACGTGTAACTGACTCAAGTGAACACATTAGACTGATCATGAGTCTAGAAATACAGTTGAAGTCATTCATAAAATGTTGGCTCTCTCCTCACGGCTGTTTTCTCCCAAAGAAACCAGGTTTTCATTTTTTTTCTTCCTTGTCAGACACCACGTGTTCACAACAGCCTTACGCCAGCCACGTGGCTAGGGAGTCACACTCATGCCTCCGGAGATTCACTTAGCGTTTCATGAAGTGGACCTCCGTGGTTGTTCCCATAGAAACCTCAGATGTTATTCCCCAGAATGCCAAGGGCCAGTTTATGCTGTCTGGTGAATATGGAGTGGTGTGTGTCCTGTACATTGCCACCCCCCACCCAGCACCAGGAACTGTTCACAGTTGTACAGCATGGTAGTCGAGAGGGAAATGGGGATTTCAAACCCCACTAGATCTGAATTTTTCTCTTTGTGTCATCTGTATGAACTTTTTGTGTAAATGTGTGTGTGTGAGCACATGTGTGACATGGCACTATTGGGGGCCAATGCTGAGGGGCCTCAAGCTGGCAGGGTTCTGACCCATGCCTGTGGGCTGGAATCTCAGCAGGCCCATGCTGGTTGCTGATTGGTCAGCTGGCATTAGGAGGTAGACTTCCCAGCCTACCCAGCAGGGTTACTAATTATATTGCTTGGGGCGCCTTGAAGGGCATTTCAACCTGCAGTGGAATTCTCTTACTCCTCAGTAGACTGGCTCATGCCAGCTGTGCCCAGTGGTCTGAATGGGAATAGAGAAGCAAGGCAACATGGTGGGCAGAGACCACTGTGAGGAAACCTGGGCGACCATCTTCAGGATGTCTCTGCCTGCTGCAGCCCTGTGATGCATGCACAGTGGTCAAGCTCGGCCCCCTCACTGGGTTACTGGGAGGATGAATTGAGAAGAGATGTGGATGGATCAGATGAGGGTAAAATCGCTATCCACTTGGTCTATTGTCTTCAATAAAATAGTAACATTGTTCCCCTGACTTGAGCACAAGCTGGGATTCCCAGGAGAGCTTTCTTCTCTTGAGCATCTTCTCCGTTCCTGCTGTCACAGGTCCATCCAATGAAACCCCCACCACTCCCTGTCCCCATACCCCAGCTAAATCCGATTTTCCACCATTCCCTCAAGCATACCCAGTGCTTTTCCACTTTTGTTCATGTGGGCCCTTTGACTGCAGTGTCCTCCTGCCACTCATTTAAATCCCATCTGCTCTCTAAGTCTCGATTCACATGTCACCTCCTCCCTGAAGCTTCTGATTTCACCCAAATTGATGTGCTGTACCTCTCCTTGAAACCCTGAGGGCAGGGCCCATGCCCGGTCCCCAGTACATCCCCCCAGGGCCTGATACAATGCCTGACACATAGCAGGTCCTCCATTAATGCCACGCTGCATGAAGCTGACCAGGCCCAGTGGAGCTGTGGGTGTTCCCAGACCTTTACCTTGGGAGTGAACATGTGCAGAATGCCATCGACGGCCCCTCGAAGCAGCAGCCCCCGGACCAGGAAGCAGGCCAGCACCACGTATGGAAAGAGGGAGCTGAAATACATCACCTGCAGAGGACAAGGACCCACCGTGGCGCAGAGCCCCTCGTGCAGCTGGTACCCCCCTCCCTGCTCACAGCTGGGGCACATGAGCCTCCTCTGATGGCTACAGAAAGCAGAGCCCTGGGACCCCAGGGCACAGGGCCAACCCCACCGCATGTCTGGCTTTGAGCCAAGGCAGAAACAGGAGCACAGAAAAGCTGGAGTCAGCATGGCCATGCTTGGGACTGGTTTTTCCCTTTCAAGGGCTGGTGGGGCTGGGTCTGAGGCCTCCCCACCCCCAAGGGCAGCCAAGGGGGTTCCTCACCCTTTCCTTTCCCCTCCTCATTTTTTCATGTCTCCTGCCTACTTTTCTGTTCCTGGTTCCAATGGACCCCCTGAGGATCTCCCTTGTCCTCCTTAGAGCTCCTTTGACAGAAGGCATCCAGGAGGTTATAGATATGGCTCCCAAGCAAAAACATCAGAAGAAGGTCTTGCCTTTTGTGATTATAAATCGTGTGCTACTTTTTAGCATGTGTTTCTTACACATTCCCATATCCTCATGTGCCTGGCACAGAGCCTCATGCAAAGAAGATGCTCACACAATGTTTGTTGCCCTGAAACAAATCAGGAAGGCTACTTGGGCAGGACGCTGCAAAGGTTAGCATGTCCGCAGCTAGAGCGCCTGAGTTCTGATCCTGGCTCTACTACTTACCAACCACGTGACCGTGGGCTATTTACCTAGCCTCAGTGTACCTCCATCTCCTCATCTATAAAAATGGGTATAAGAACTCCTAACTCATAAGGTTGTTGTGGACCAAATGCATTCATGTATGTGGTAGTGCCTGATCAACTGCTACAAAATGTCAGCTACCATTTTGGTCTTTAGAGAGGGAAGGGGTGCTGGTTGAGACCATGCTACCTTTCTAAGGCTTAGATTCTTTGCTCATCAAGTCTGGTAAAGAACTTGGAACCACAGCTTTAGTTCCAGCTCTGGGATAGGCTGGCTGTGTGCTCTCAGGTGAGATGCTTTCCTCTCGGCCTCAGTTTCCTCATTTGTAGAATGAGTGAATTGGGCTACAGGATGTCTAGCGTCCTTTCCAGCCCTAGCAGTCTAAGCATACTGACATGTGACGAAGGAGAAAGGGCCCTATTTGAAGGGGATTTGAACTGTGGGGAGAAGGTGTGTGGGGCTCAGCTGGTCTGCACCTGCAGAGGCCAGTGTAAAGCTGCCCTCTGAAGCCCACTTCACTCACAGCACCTACCTGCTCACAGAGCCCGTTAGTTGTAGACACGGTAAGCAGCCTGTTTTCACCAAAATTGCTGAGCAGGGCTTTTGCTTGGGACCCTGAGGGGCTGGGATCTAGATGTCCCTGAGTTAATACTCCTAGTTTTCCTTCTCTTTAGCTTGCAGAGTGGGCCTGAGATATCAGAGCACAGAGCGAGCTTGGGGTTAAAGCCGTGATTGTTTACAAGCCCACTCCTGGTGGGCTGTCCACCAGGAACAATACTACAGCAGTGTCACTCCCATCACCTCCTCGGGGGGCCTGTGTCACCTTCCCGAGCCATCCAGAGGCCGAGCTCACCTACGGGACCCTGAACGGGGCAGCCCAGGAGTCTCAGCCCCCTGCCCTCCATACTTTTCTCAGACCATGTGGCTCTGAGTGCCCCCTCCAGACTCACCTTTCCCGAGGACTGGATGCCCCTGATGACGGCCATGCCCACAATGGTCCAGGCCACAAGGAGACACAGGGTCATCTTCCAGTTGAGGCCTCCACTCTCTGAGATTGAGTTAGAGATGTCCAAGGCCTCTCGGTACCAGAAGTAGGTAGTGGCTGAGCTCTTTTCACACTCTGCCTCCACCACTGCAACAGCAACAAAAGCCACAGGACCCCAGTGGTGAGGTTGTGGGGCCACTTCCTCTGCTGCACCCCCACTCAGGGCAGCAGTGGGTGAGGGGACAGCTGAGTGACAGCAGCAGAGAGCGACTGTTCCCATTCTGGGTTGGTCAGGATCTAGCAGACCCTGAGGACTCCTGGGCTCCCAATGGGGACTGGGAGAACTCAGGACATACTGATCTGGCTGAATTCCCACTCATGTCATCCCCTGCCCATGTCCATCCATAGAAGGCACAAAGGGTTAGGCAGAACTGGCCTCTGTTTCCTTGGGAAGGTCCTAAGCTGGGAACTGGAGGCCTGGATTCCCATCCCTTTGTTAAATCCATGGTACGACAATGGGAAAGTTGCTTCTGGGCCTCAGTTTACCCATCTGTGAGGTGGGATAAATCATCCAGCCCTTTATAGAGATCGCATGCAAATTATGGCTGTTTCCAGAGAAGACAGTATCAGACCAACACAGGGTAGTTGATAACAACTAAAGAAAAGTCACAATTTCCAGAGTTTTACCTACACTTACTAGTTCATTCAATGCCCATAAGAACTCGATGAGATAGGCTGGTGAGAGATCATACGGGGAAATGAGGGTCAGCAAGGTGACACAGCAAGCTGATGAGATCCCACATCTGTGCCTAAGCTTCTTAGGCGCGTTTGATTCCTTCCTGGGACAGAGCTGGTGGGGGTTCCCAGCTGGTCATATTCAAGGGATCCCATACTTGCCTGCCACAGTCCCATTCCTGATGACAGGACATTCACTCCAGGGCAGCGGGTACTGGAAGGACTTGAAGAAGTAGAAGATGCTCCACCCAATGATCACATTGTAATACAGCCCAACAAAGAGGCAGACCTGGGACAGGGCACAGGTGTGGGGTCACCGAGGCTGCAGGGAACTCCGCCCACCCATGCCCAGCCCCACCCACACAGTCTGGCACAGCCAAGGAGGAGGAGGAGGAGGACTGCCCCCTCCTAAGCCTCCATCCTTCTGGCATTCAAAGACTCCACAGAGGAATGTTTCAGATATTAAAGTTCTCTCCTTTAAGCAATAAACTCTTAAAATGTTAATCCTTTCCATTTTGAAATTCTACTATGCTTAAAGCACTTCCCCATCATTTCCTCATGACTCAGGATCACAATTCCAGAGCCATCCCTGGACAATGGAGACTGGAACAGCTTCGGCCTCTATAGTCAACTGCCACAGAGCAGCTGAACTTTTTGAGGTTTTCTGAATGTTTCTTATTGGTTTCCTATGTCCACCTTCTCTCAGGACACTATTCTCCCATTGGTAATGTCAGCAGCCTGCCTCTAGAAAGACATCAGTTCTCATTTCTTGTCTCTAGCAAGATGCCACTTCTCATTTCTTGGAAGCATAACTAACCTTGGTAGAATTGTATTGATTTGGTTGTCGGAAAAGTCATGATGTACTTTTTTTCTATGATTTTTGTTGCAAAAATGCATCACGACTTTTCCAACAACCCAATAAAATAGGGATGCATGGGCGGGGGTGGGGTGGGGGGAGGCATGGCTAGCTCAGGTGGTTAGAGTGCAGTACTCACAACACCAAGGTTGCTGGTTCAATCCCCACATGGGCCACTGAGTTGCATCCTCCACAACTAGATTGAAACAACTATTTGACTTGGAGCTGATGGGTCTTGGAAAAATACACTGTTCCCCAATAAAATTAGAAAATAAAACAAAAATTTTAAAAAGATAAATAAATAATAAAATAATAAAATAGGGGTGCATGGGTTCTGACTGAGGATCAGGGTTTTCTTTGAAAACAATGCTTTCATGTGCAGGCATCTGCTGCATCCACCCGGGATGTTGACAGGTCCCTGCTGTCTCCAAGCTGTATTATGCATCAGTGACACTACTAGTCATGTGACAACTGAGGGCCCCTCACTTCATCCATTTCGCTTGAGCCCTGGTATGCAGGAGCAGACACTCCTAACAGCACACCTTACAGGGGATATAGAGGGAGAGAGACACCCACTTTCTTTCCCTAGGTGTTTTCCATCCAAAGGGGAGACCCCACTCACACTCATAGCCAGCCCCTGCACAGTGCGCTATACGCGTCTGTGTCCAACTGTGCAGAGATGATGCCGGCATGAGATGGGGAGCTGTCCAGACCCTCTCCCAGTCTCTGCCTGAGGCAGGTTTTGGCTGGCCCTGCTGCTAGGCCTGACAGGACCCTCAGTCCCTTCCAGAAGCAGATGCCAGTTTTTATCCCAGGTGAGAGGTGGCACTGCAGGCTTTGCCCTTAAGAGAGGCTCAGTGTCCTCACCTAGAGCACTAAACAAGGCCCCACAGATGAACCTGGAGCCCTCACAGAACTTGCCATGCAGGCCAGTGGGGTCTCCCTGTCTCCCTATCTTCCAAAGCCTCACCCCTCCTGGGTCGGCTCTGGTCTGAGTCCTTCTCCAACTCAGCAAAATGGCACACAGCAAAATGGCAAGGAGACCCTGTGCCCCAGAGCTGCCTTTTCCTGTGCCACCCACTGGCCCAATTAACCAAAAAAAGAGGAAAGGTCTTCCTCGCAGGGAGAGGACGGGCTGGTAAACAGAGAGGGTCTCCGGGGTGGTCTCCATGTCCCCAGAGAACTCAAGCTGAGATGTCCCAGGCACCCGCTAGTGAATGTGTTCCAGCCTTTCCTTCTTAGTAATAATCCCAAATATTATATCCTGCTTCAGGCAGCGGAGCCAACTTTCAGTTCAGGAAATATGTGGTTCTGAGACAGCAGCTGGAAGCCATTCTCACATTGAGGGTCTCCCTCCCTGCCCTTGACCCAGCCCAGGACTCTGGGCTATAACCCTTGTCCCCAAGAACGGCCTCCCTCCTTCCTGGCGAGTGCCCACTGCCATCTGCCGACTCACTATACAGCTGGAGAAGCCGATGCCCCCCAGGCGGGGACACACGTAATGCCACACGCCAATGCTGCCACGGCGGATCCTCTGGCCCACAGCCAGCTCCAGGAAGAAGAGCGGGATCCCAATGATGATCAGCAGCACCAAGTAGGGCACCAGGTAGGCACCTGGGGAGGAGGAAGAGATGTCAGAGGGTGTCTGCAGAACAGCACCAGCGGGAGGGTGGGGTGGCAGTCAGGTCCAACCATCCCACCACACCTCTGATCAGCTCAAATCCATCACCGGTCCTTGTATTCCTCTGGGAATAGTCTGGCCCATACGTGTGACCTACTGGCCACTGAGTCCATCCTTCTACCCCTTGACTTCCCTGACCTGAAATACTAAGGGAGGGTTCAGATGTACATCAACACCTCCTGCTCACAAGTCTAGGCCCAGAAACAGGCAGACAGACACACTCGCCTCGGGACGCACTCTGTGGACACCTGTTTGCAACCCCTCCCACCCACAGAGCAGCAGCCCAGATGGACGGGGCCCCCCAGAGGCACAGACCCCAGGCACAGCCTTTCCTGTGACTGAGCCAGTTGCTGACGAAGCAGACTGGGCAGCTCCAGGGAAGCAGAGCTTGGAAACTTTCCAGGGAGAGGGGATATGACCTGCACAGCCATTAATCTACAGCTAATTGGGAGGAACGGGAGAGAAATTAGCAGCTCAGGAAAGTGTAGCCGAGAGGATCATAAAGGATAGAATAGATCTCGCTCAAGATTCCAGATGATAAATTAAACTCGCTGTCCTGGGCCTCACTGCAGACACAATCTCGTTTCCAAGTGACAGGGCGTTTAGCAGGAGAATTAAAACCATGTCTGGACACAGACGAGTGATCCCCGCTGAGAGCTGTGCCAACGACCTAGTCCTGTTAGCAATGCTGTTGGCACAGCCCTGACTGTCCAGCAAATGATGTCAGACCAGCTCCAGTCACCGGTGCCCTGATGGTCACCCAGCACCCCAAACACAGCCCTAAGAGCTGGCAGTCTCCACAAGACCCCCAGCCACACTGTTCTTCCCCCCATAACATGAAATCCTAGATGTTCCCCAACATGTACACAATCTGCCAATGAACCCAGGGGATCAGCATCTCCTGGGCACGAGACCTGGCATTTGGCAATAGTCAGCTGTTTTCTACTCTGTACCAGGCATGTGAAATGAGGGGATACCAGGCAACAGAAGGCCCAGATGCTATTCGGGGAGAGCTAGCAGGACCCGTAGAGTCACATGAGCAACGCCAACATGTGTGTACACACACATCACACATGTCTCACACACACTCACGTCACACAAAACCAACTGAGCACATACGTGCTGAGGGAGGGGTCCGGGTCCAATAGAGCTAATTTGGAAAGGCCTCCAGGGAGGGAACCCTCTGAGCCTTATACAACTGCATCTAGTTCACTAAACACACACATGCACACAGTCACATGAACACGTAAAATAAAGCCATCACTAACAAGCAGCTCCATCATGGTGCTAAAAGGAGGGAGGGCTGAAGGAGTCCCAGTTCTGTCTTTTAACCTAGCTGTCTCTAGGTCTTGGGCTCGGGGAAACAAGAGGAGAGAAGTGACCTGCAGGAGCAAAGGGACACAGCCACACTGGTTTTGTATTTCGCCCATGTGTCCTTAGTGGGGCAAGACATGCAGGGAGATGGGTTTAAGGATGTCAAAGAAGTAGGCTGGCATCTCCTGTGGATGTTTCTCTCCTCTAACAAAGGAACCAGGAAAAACATCCAGGTAAAGTGCTGTCCAAAGAAGGGTCCCACAGCAAAGACCGGCCACCCACCATCTGCCACCCACCGCCCATCGCTCAGGCCTGTCTGCCTCAGCTAGACCCCAGGGCACTGACTTGAAGCTGGCCTTTGCACCACACTGAGGCCTAGCTAACCACAATGCTTTGGGGACTGCAAGCTGGGTGGGCAGCTCTCCTGGTTAATCAGAGGTACTTTTTCATATCAACCTTTGTTGAAGTTATTTGGAAATGCACCCTCCTCCACCTTAGAAAATACAGCTTAGGGACACACCTGGATTTCCTTTGGTGTTCCAGTGGCTTTTAGGAGCCTCAGATCATTGGCCTAAACAGCTGGGAGCACTGCTCAGGGCCTTCGGAAATTTAGCAGACAATGGCTATACGGATTGGATTCTGGGACCTGTGAGGTCTCCTGGGTCGCTAACAGTTTATGTCTCCGTCTACAGTCTGGGTCTCATTTCTGGCCAACCCTGAGGTTATTCCTGGGATTTGAAAGACCACCTTGGTCTCGACCTGTTGAGATGCATACTGAGTACGGCCTCTGGTGGGTAGAAGGGATATGATACCAGCGCAAGATCCTCTAGAGCAGCGGTTTTCAACCTTCCTAATGCTGCGACCCCTTAATCCAGTTCCTCATGTTGTGGTGACCCCCAACCATAAAATTATTTTCGTTGCTACTCTATAACTATAATTTTGCTACTGTTATGAATCGTAATGTAAATATCTTTTTGTTTTCCGATGGTCTTAGGCGACCCCTGTGAAAGGGTCGTTCGATCCCCAAGGGGGTCGCAACCCACAGGTTGAGAACTGCTGCTCTAGAGGGATTCAAACTCAGCAGGCAGCATAAGGGCCCCTCCTACCTGAGAAGCAGTAGGTATGGTGACAACATGCTCAGGCCCCGGGGCCAAGCTGTCCAGGTTTCAATCCTGACTTTATCACTAGCTGTGTGACCTCGAGCAAGTTACCTAACCTCTCCGTGCCTCGCTTTTACCGTCTCCAAAATGAGGGTAATAATAACTCCTTCCTCGAACAGGGTTGTGAGAATTTGTTGTTTGAACCATATGAAATTAGTACTTTGGTTGTTCCAAGATGCTCAAATATCAGCAGTTTCATGAATTTCAGCCTAATATCCAGTAAGTGTTTAGAACAGTGCCTGGCACCTAGTAAGCATTTAAAAATAACAGCCAGAAATTGCTCTTTACAATGTATCAGATACAGCGTTGAGTATTCTACATGTAAAGTTCTTTTCATCCTGCCAACTATCCTGAGAGGCAGGAAGTACTATTATTTCCATTTTACAGATGAGGAACAGAGAGGCATGGAGAGAGGAAGAAACTTGCAGAGAGAGCTGACTGTCTAGGCTGGGACTCGAACCAAGGCCGTCCAGGTTCTTGATAGCTCTTAGCTCTTAGCAATTCCTGACGAGTCTTACTCTGCAATCCTGACCTCCAACCTACAAGGATTCCAATTCTGTCCTGGGAAGGGGTGCTCCTTTTCACCCCTCAGCCCAGCCCATTTGCAGGGCACCCTCAGGGCCGGTGGGCTGGCCTCTTACCACCTCCGTTTTTCTGGCACAGGTAGGGGAACCTCCAGATGTTGCCGAGGCCCACGGAGAAGCCGATCTGGGCCAGGATATACTGCAGCTTGCTGTTCCAGGCTGGCCGGTCCTCTGCGTCCAGCTCCTCCTCCGCTGCCCCCTGCTTTCCTCCTGCCCCACCGGCCACATTCAGGACACTCTGCTTGTAGTCCACAGGCTCCTCGAGGGCCAGGAGGTCAGCCACCGACTCCGTGACATGCTCGCTGCTGTGCTCGCGCTGGGTCACCTTGCTGTTCTTTGGCATTGGTGCCACTGGGGCCACACGGCCCTGCTCCCAGCACACAGAGAAGGTGGGACTCGGCTGTCCTCAGCTCCTTCTCATCCGGGACCTGTGAAGCCAGGTGAGCAGGAGAAGATTAGCTGCCTACACCAGCGAAGTGGGAAGCTCAGGTGGACACAACCAAATCAACTCCCCATCACACACTCGGAACCGGTCAGTAGCCTGGAATATTGAGCTGAACTGCCTCCCCAACAGGGGTGCCCACTGAGGAACCCAAAGTCTGCAAACTCAGTTTCCCCAGGCCTTACCTGATTACCTGAGCATCATTAGAAGGGCAAACCTAAAGGGGCAGAAGAGGTCACACCAGACATCAAACCCAAATCAAGGGTCGTCCATGGCAACATTGCTCCCTTTCCTAACTGCAGATCCAAGAGTGTTCGAGACTCTGTGGAGGTCTCACAGCCTTTCCCTCCCAGGGTCGTGCAGGTGGTGCCAGGTCCAAGCCCTCGTGTGTTCTATTAAGCCCAAACCACCTGGCGGGACCTAGGGAAGCCAGCATCTGCCTTCTCTAGGGTCTTTCTATTCAAAATGTAATTCATGGGCCAGTGGCATCACAGGGCCTGGTGAGAAATGCAGAATCTCAGGTCCCTTCCAGACCTACTGAATCTTTCTTTGTATTTTTATATGATCCCCAGATGACTCAAACAGATATTAACATTTGAGGGGGGAAAAAGGCAGTCGCTCTCACCATGGGGCCCCTGGACACCAGCCTCTTTGGCCCCTTCATTCCCCAGGCAGGAGTGCTGACCAGGCTCCATTAAGGATTTTGGCACCAGAGCCCTAAAGGTGCTCACTTGGTGCCAACAAATCCTGGGTCATCACTCACCACTGACATTATCTGAGAGCCACTGCAGCCAAGAACCAGTTCTCCATCCTTCAGCGACAGTTTTACAGCTGATTATGTCTCCACAACATGGGCGGGGGAGGCAACACCCTTCCCCTGGCTCCCGCTATTCCTCATCCATCTTTCATGCCTCCCCATAAAGAAATAAAGCACCAAGGAAGTGAGTCCTTTGAAGGATCCCAGCATTCTGCTATATTTCAAAGCATCTCCTCATTAAGAAGAGGTCAGAGGATTTAAAATGAAAACGCATATACACCCAGTCCGGCAGTTGCCCTGCATCTTTCTAGGGATGTAAATTACCTGGCTCTGTAATTACTTAACTAAGGGAGGACCTGCCTCTGGAAGTGACGCTTCGGTCTGTTCTCTCCTTGGATGTGCCACCTGAATGGCACAGGCAAGGTCACTGCACAGCAGAAGCGTGCATGGCTGCCCTCCCTGCTGGGCTTGATCCAGACCTCCTGGCTGACTCCAGCAAAAACCTGACCTTTGAGGGTACCCGGCCAGCCAGATCCTGCTAATGAAGTTGGGAGGCCCGGCAGACAGGGACGGCTGTTCGTGCTGATCCGTGGGGTGAGCCAGCCCTCCTCAGGCCAGGCCTTGGACCATACCAGTGGGTGACACTTCCCTCCCCTCCTCATTCAAGGGGAACAGTAAGTCTTTAGTGACTGTTCCAGCCCAGGAACAGTCAGGGTCTTGGCTCTGGACTGACTGGGCCGAGCCAGCCTGCCTAGAAGACTTCAGAATTCCCTAGAAGAAACACAGCTCTCTGTTGGAACTTCACAGTGCATCAGCTGAACATTCTGCCCTGAAGGTGCCCCAAGGTGGAACTGTGTGTCTGAGGACCCTGCAGTGCTCGGCCTCCCCTGGGGTTGCTGCCTTGCCCATGCTAGACAAGCAAATGGTGCCCCTAGTGGTTGTGTTCTTGCCTGGGCTGCCAGGATGGGCACCCCCGCCACCCCAGTCAGCAGGTCCCTGTCCCCAGGACACTCAAATGGAGAAAACCAAAGGCACATGTGATGGCTGCTTGTCTAGCTAGCCCATCTCCCCTACAGCATACATCGAGAATTTTTATTAGAACTAGAGCCAGGAAAAAGGGTCGGCCGGTCCTGCTGAAGACTGCAGTCAGCAGGGTGCCTCAACTCAGAGCCTTTCTCTAGGTCCTCTGCCTGCAGCCGGGTTTGATCGGAACAATCTGCAATGCATTAGGTATGATTTACTGCTCATCCTGCCACAAATGGAACAAACCAAGGGGGATTCCGCAAGTCGGCAGAATGTATCTTGATGCTAACCCATTGGAGAACACGGTTCCCCATAAATAGCCTAGTGCGCAGCAGCTCTCTGTTCACCAACATGAGAAAGGTCTGGGGGCAGGGGAGAGCATCATTTTAAACTAGGAGGACTCAAGGACAAAATTAGCACATTCTGGTAAAGCCAGAGGATACCACAACAGCATCACTGAAACCACAGGCATCAGCTCAATATGAGCTTCTTCCTTCTTCCCAAGATGTCACTGCAGTGCATGAACATCCTGCACTGCAGGATGGGGCCCAGGTCCTCCTGTGCCATCAGCTTTGCAGGACACAAAGTGCTGGTGCAGACTTGCAAGCTGAGGCACGGGGTGTGGCTGCAGTTGTGACTGGAACTTTCCATGCCCAGTGAATATGCTCAGGTGACAACTCCTGAATCCGTCACAGAATATTTAAGCCTGAGGGACCCTAGCAACAGTCTCATTTTATATATGAAGAAACTGAGGCCAGGAGAGAGGCAGTGAATTGCCCAAAGCCACTGGGCCAGACTCTGCAGGGAGTGGGCACAGGAAGAAGACAGTTGGTGTTGGTGAAGAGCAGGGGCTTTGAAGTCAGACAGACCTGGTTTCGAAAGCTCTCGTTTCATTCATTCATTCATTCACTCAGTCACTCACTTAACATACATTTCCCAAATGCCTCTGCTCGAATGTCCCCTCCTCAGGAATACTGTTCCGAACCATAAAATAGCAGCCCTCCAGCTTGCAATCCCCACACCCTGCCCCATGTTATTTCTCTTTATAGCATGAATCACCACTGGCCCTTATATATCTCTATGCCTTTCTTTAGTACGTGGCCTTTCCACAAGAAATATAAACTCCACAAGGGGAAACACTTGGCTTATTTTGTTTGCTGCTGTATCCCTCGCGCCAAGAACAGAGAGAAGACAGTTCATGGCTCACATCACACAGCTGTCAGCTGTCAGCACCCAGGTCTCCTCATTCCTGTGCTCGCTCCATGTTTTTAAAGGGGAGGTGGCAGCAGTGACTTGGAACAGCCCTCCCTCCCTGCACCTCCCTCCCCAGTTCCCTGAAGCCTGGAGTTTCTGTGCTGGTGAAAGGTCAGCTTTCAGACCAGGACCTGGAGATCCAATGTGTATCCAGCCAACAATCCCAAAGCATTGCCTGGGACAAGCACTAGGATCAGAGAAGCACCCAGGAGGAGCCAGCCATGATCCAGGCATCAGGTGACAGCAAGCTGCTGGTCCTGACCCACCACCAACCGTGCAAAGTGGAACCATTGCCCTAACCTCTCTGAGCCTCATTTTCCCTGTGTGTAAAATGGGTTGGTCTGAATGATCTTGGAGGCCCCTTTCAGCTCTGCATATATCCAGGAAGTGCCCTCCCCCACCATTCCCACCCTACCTCACCCCACCCAGAACGTGGATGTGAGCAAGGCATGACGTGCCCCAGGCACTAGACATTGTAGGTTCTTCAGCCTGTCTGTCACACCACCCTTGTGAGAGCTCACTGGAGCATTGTGGGGATGCTTTGACAGTAGCCCAGCTGTACTCGAATTACCCGCTGGTAGTTGCTGGGTGGGTTGTAGAGCTGCTTTCCCGAGCAGCTCTTGAGATAATCAAGTTCCTTGGAATGCCTCAATTACTTAAAGCACAATGCAGAGGGGCTGGAGTGCCGAGAAAGCCTCCCTGACATCTGTCACTTTGCAACTGGTGCAGCTCATAGCTCAGAATAGCACACGTGAGAGGAGCAGGGCTGAGTCAGTGAACTATGCATCTTCTTAAAAAGAGGAAAAAAATAGACCGACTAGGAAGCAGACAAGTAAAAATATCTCCTGCCTGAAGGCTGAGGGCGCCACCACAACTTCTCACGCACAGCAGTCAGCCAGTGCCTCAAGGGCGTGGGGGTTGGCTGCGCACTCAAGATCAGGCCCAGCCAGAGCCCCGCCAGCCCACAGCAGCCACAGGCCCTGGTGGAAAGCTAACGGCGGCCCTCTGAGCATCTGCCTCCTGGGGTTGGGGTGTCTCTCACTCAGGAAGGTTGTACCAGGTAACTCAAGGGAATCACTTTTTAACAAGTCAGACTCCTAGGGGAGCTGAATGAGAAGCCCCCATCTTCGGGAAAGCCGCCATCTTTGGGGAAGCACCAAGGTGACTACAGACCCCACCGTGCCCTGCTTCTACGAGCCCCGTGGGGGGGGGTGCCTCATTTTGCTTGCTGCCCTAAGGTCTTGTGGCTCTGGATAGAGTGCTGCACATTGTTTTTTGTTTTTGTTTTTTTCTTTTTTTTTTTTAAGATTTAAAAAATTTTTTATTGTGGAATTGGGGGAGGGGAACAGTGTTGGGGAATCGGGGAAGAGAAACAGACAAGTTGCTGTCCTTTTGTTCCTCAGTCTAGTTGCGGAGGACGTCGCTTCACTGGCCCATGTTGGTATTATCATTGTGCTTTTCCTGGGTGAGGCAGTCACTTGCTGGCCATTGGACGGCCACTCATGACGGCTCACGGCAGCAGGGGCTGCAGCCTACGCCATCGCCATCAACTCATGGCAGCCCAGCTCCAGGTTGAGCTGTTGTTCTCCATCTTAGCTGTAGAGGGCAGTGTCACTGGCCCTCATGTGGGATCAGAACCGGGGCCCTGCTGCTCAGAGCTGGTGTCCCAAGCCAACTCCTAACCAACGCGCCACTCGGCCAGCCCTACCTAGCGTGCTGCACATTCTTAAATGCGAACTTCTACATCAGGGAAGCTGTGAAGAGCCCCCAGCAACCCAAGCTATGCAGCCAAGGTCCAATTCTAGATTAACCTGTGGTGAGAAGGAAGCAAGGTTGGGGTCCTTTTCTCTCTGAGAACTTGACAGCTTCCTGATTCCATGTGACAAGCAGCTGTGGCCCAAACAGTTCTCCTAATTATCTCGGAGCCTCTGGGCTTCCACTGAGCCCAAAAC